TAAAAAGAATCAGAAAGCAAATGTTGACACTGTTTTTGCAGCCCAGAAGGAAGAGGAGATCAGGCCAGAAGTCACTCACAGCTAAAACTGCCAACGATAATTCAGAGAACATTGTCCATCATGGCAACCTATTTCAAAAGAATTTAAAGGCGAGCAGACCCATAAGTTTAAGAAAGTTTAGTCACTCAGTCATGGCCACTTTGTGACCTCATGGGATAAACAGATTACTGAAGAAGAATTTAATATAGGTACCTAAAAATAAGTCTTTGACTAGTTGATTCAATTGTCTAATTATGCTTTCCACTCACCCTTTCAAAATATATTTGAATACCTATTTAATGAATAAGTAACATAAAGAGCTCAAGACTTGCCCTCAAGGAACTTGTAAATGGCATGAGGCACACTCGGAAATGCAGATACGGTAATAACATCAGATTTCTTCACCTGCCAGAGAGGGGAACCAAGTACAGATGGATTAGAAAACATTTTAAATAAAGCTCTTGTAAGGTTTTATTGGTCCTTGACTGAAGGGCAAGGTTTTTTGGATCAGGATACTAAAGTAATATATATTCATTTCAGAAAATTTGAAGAACACAAAAAGCACATAGAGGCAAATTAAAAACGATCTGTATCCCTACTACTCAGAAATAACTAGTTTTCACCTGTTGATCCATTACCTTCTACTCTTTTTCCTGTTTAAAAAAAAAAAAAGGAACTAGACTTCAGCTTTTTCTTCTTGCCTAACTCTCAGAGAGTACTTTTCTTTATCATTGTGGGTTAAACAACATACACACACACGACTTTCTCCCAGAGCAAGTCTATGAGATTTCTCCTGTCACTGATTTTGCCAGAAACATGCTTAATCTGCAGGTAAAGTTCTTTCTTCATCTCCAGAAAATATTTTCTGTTACATCTTTGATTTGGGGCTCAGTTCCTCCATCAGAGACCAGCAACCCATAGGATACTTTTTATTCCCTGTCCTTATCTCTTATCCTCTCTTTGATCATTTTTGTCTTTTGTTTCCACCTCTATTCTAGGAATATGAAGAAAACCTTGGAAGGAAAGCTATGACCAACCTAGACAGCATATTAAAAAGCAGAGACATTACTTGGCCGACAAAGGTCCATCTAGTCAAAGCTATGGTTTTCCCAGTAGTCATGTATGGATGTGAAAGTTGGACCATAAAGAAAGCTGAGCACTGAAGAACTGATGCTTTTGAACTGTGATGTTGGAGAAGACTCTTGAGAGTCCCTTGGACTGCAAGGAGATCCAACCATTCCATCCTAAAGGAAATCAGTCCTGAGTGTTCATTGGAAGGATTGATGCTAAAGCTGAAGCTCCAATACTTTGGCCACCTGATGCAAAGAACTGACTCATTTGAAAAGACCCTGATGCTGGGAAAGACTGAAGGCAGGAAGAGAAGGGGACAACAGAGGATGAGATGGTTGGATAGTATTACCAACTCAATGGACATGAGTTTGAGCAAGCTCCAGGAGTCGGTGATGGACAGGAAAGCCTGGCGTGCTGCAGTCCATGGGGTCACAAAGAGTCGGACACAACTGAGTGACGAATTGAACTGAACACTCTAAGAGAACTACTCAAGTTTGCACTCCACTTCACTGATTCCATTTTCCACATCAGTTCTGTTCTTTACTAAGTTACTAACTTCAATGTGGATTTTAAATCTACCATTGCTTGCTTTGGGTTGGTTTGGGGTTTGCATGTGTTTTAGTCTCTTTACAACTGTTGCTTATTTTATCCATCACTTCCTTTCTGTTTCATCTTTGTTTTGTCTTAGAGGTAATGTCATCTTGGACTTATAACCCAGATGATAGTTCTCTGTCCTACTGGGGTCACACTGTTCTTAACCACAACAACAGAATATCTATCATCTTCATTTTGTGTGCTAGGAAGCCCAACATGACACCTAGTATCTCCAAGAATTCTTAAAGGAATTATATTTCTCCTATTCACTGTGGCTTTGATTTCCTATTTCAATAGAATTCCAGATTCTAGATTGGCACTCTTCTCTGGCACATATGGTTCCTTTTCTCAGTGTGTTACCTCACATCCCACATCCCTCTTCACCCCGTCCCTGCCCCCAGAAAGCACAGTCCAGCCACAGGGTTGATGCAGATTGTCACCGAAGGTTGCAGATACAGAGCACAGTAAAGAACTTAAACTTGACCATCGGAGGTCCCATGCTTAGCACTTCCTCAGTCATTCCTGCCCTGGGAACTGGTCCTGTCTCCCAGAAGAGCCCAGCCTACCCTCTCATCTTCTCCTATTCCTCCCATTTCCTGCTCACCACTGCCCCTCCCCTTCCCAACTGCAAGCAAGTTCAAGGAACTGTGAATTGAGGGCCAAGTGGATTTTCCTCAGTTCACCTCTACTGGCTTTAAAATTCTCATCCTATGCTCACTTCGGCAGCACATATAAAATTCTCATCCAATCCCTTTTCTTCTATTTTAGCATGGCTTTATGTCAATCTTAGTGTTTGATGCCATTAAAACTTTTCATCTCTGTTACTGACATTTAATAAGAAGTTGAAAATAGCTACATTCAAATGCCACTTTGAACAAAAATTCTGGGCTGTTTATCTACAAAGTAATTAATATATTTACTTGCTTATTTATGATATGTTTCATAGCATTTACTGTGTGCCAGAGATCATTCTAAATACTTTACTGACATTATCTCATTTAATTTTCACTACCCATCCCATGATATAATGACCTCAATCCTTTTCATCTGCACACAGATAAAATTTAGGTCAAACCATATAAATAATTTTGCATTTTGTTCTTATCAGATTCATATTGTGATCATGTTCCCCATTAAAAAAATATTTTTCAAACACGTGATTTTAATGGCACATGGCAAATTTGCACAATTTATTTTGAAGACTGCTCTTTTATAAAAATCTTTGCATTCTTATTCTTCATACACGCAGTTTTTACAAAAGAAATTGTGGGGTCAAAAGGATAAACTTGGAACAACTCACTTTAGAAGGAGATGAAAATATCAGTTTCATGACATCTTCCCCCAGTCCCTGGTATTACTCCTCAACTTCCTATAAGTAGGAAACATGAAAGGGAGCTTTCTGTTTGTGGGAATGAGGTGTGTGTGTGTCTGTGTGTGTGTGTGTGTGTGACAGTAAAGAAAGAAATACGAAATGGTGTCAAAAAGATATACATGTTTTTAATAAGACGTCCAGAGGTGACACAAGTTGCTGTAGCAACTGATACATGCCGTCAGGAGTTAAGTAAGAGAGAAAAATTGTAGTTGATAAATAATATTTTAAGAACTCGTGCTTAAATTATTTAGGTGAGACATTATGTAACCTTGTGTAGTTAAACATCAGAAATTGTGAAAAACAGTTACCAGCAAAACTTGGTACCAGTATCTCTCCTTCATAAGGGAACAGAGAGAAATACACAATCCTATATTAAAATCAGTGACAGCAATCTTTTTTTTAATCACTCATCATCTATCTATTTGTTCAACCCAGTTTTGGCGCCTACTATTTACCAGCATTTACTATGTGCTGGAAATGAAGAGAAGAATGAGATTAAGTCCTTGCTCCCAAGAACTCACTACAAACAAAGATATAAATAAATAAGTACACTAGAAGATGGTAAGAGCTGCTCCAGAAACATCAACAAACCCATTAAGTAGGAAGTGACTAGCTCTGCCTAAGGAGTGAAAATAGGTTTGACCCCAGACATGAGCATTTGATCTGGGTACTGAAGCATGAATAAGAGTTTTCCATTCAGAGAAGGGGGAGGAAAGGGCTTTCCAGATAAAACAGAGAGCTTAGCCTCTGTTGCATAAGTCAGAATATATGAATTGCTGTGTCTTGCATGGGTTACAGGTATGTAACAAAATACTGATTCGCTGTACTCATAGGTGGGCCAGGTGGAACTTGAGGAGCTAGCATCCCTAGGTAAGCCCCTCCAGCCCTGCACAGGCTCATCCCCCTCATTCCCACATACTGTAGACATGCTATTTTCTACAATGCTGTGATGCAAAAAATGTTAGGAAGCACTGCCCCAGGTTGCTGAGAGATGACTGAGGTTTGTAAGGCTGGGAGTAATAATAAGAGTTCATTGGAATTTTTAACAACTCTGACAGTGCGATGGCAGCCAGGAGTGGCGGGAGACTGACTGCCAGGAAGGAAGACATAGGAGGTTACAACAGATTATATGTTCAGATATAGTCTCTGTCTCACCAGGTAGGGCCCCTCCCTTAGTAGGATCACACTGCTGCCCGAGGATATCAGGATTGATCACATAACTTCCTTTGATCAATGAAATATGAGTGGACTGGCCCTTTACCCTTCCTTTGCGAGCAGAAGCTCTGAGAGCATATCAAAGGTTTACTATTACACAGATTTCCCTCTATAAGAGGCCAACACATTCCAACAGAGTCCATCTGCAATGAAGAGGACATGAAGCAGAGCTGTGGCTGGCCCTCAAAGGTCATTAATGTGAACAAAACATAGATCTCTGTTGCTATAAATGACTGAGACCTGAGGGTTATTTGCTGCAACTTAATCTGACGGATACAGGGGCTAACAAGCTTAGCCACGCTACAGAACATGAGTGCCTGAAACGACAACTAGTCCTCTCAGAGTCAGTAAATCAATTAGTGGAGCTTCTTACATGATCAGGTTGCAAGAGGAATATGCTGTTTTACAATGGCTTCCAACCAGGGGTATGAAGATCACGGGCCATCTTTTACAAGGAAGACATGTCCTGCCAGGGATGGACTGATCACATGCATTGTGTTCCTCCAAACTTACATTCTGCAAATATCTAATCAGCATTTGTTTGCTCTAAATGGGCAGTAGCTGATTTGCTAGCAGAGCTTATTGCCCACTATCTTAAATCTGCATGTGAATCACAAGCAGCAATCTGAATAATCTGTCTTTGCAACAATGTGTGGCAATCAAAAATAATGCAGTGATTGTCGACCCATACCATGGAGGACTAGCTTACCTTTTGGGTAAGGTCACTGGCTTCATTGATGTACCGATCTCGTTCCTTTTCCAGTTGAAAGATGATCTTTCTCTGCTTCTGAGCCTCCTCTTTGTAGTTTTGGATTTCTTCCTCCAGATTCCTCTTGGCTTGTTCATGGAGCTTTACCAGGTCTATCTGTTTCTGGGTTGCACTGACCGCCTTAAGCATATTCTGAAAATAAGGACAGCACCGAAAAATGTTGGTGGGTTTTTGGTTAAATTCACTTGTTGCCTTAATCCTAAAATAATTAGGTGCATTGTTTGGGAGATGAATAAAAATAATCATATTTTCTACAGATTACTAAGAGCTTGTTATGTTAATTTTGCTCAGAGCACTACAAACACACATGCTGCTGCTAAGTCACTTCAGTCGTGTCTGACTCTGTGCGACCCCATAGACGGCAGCCCACCAGGCTCCTCCATCCCTGGGATTCTCCAGGCAAGAACACTGGAGTGCGCTGCCATTTCCTTCTCCAATAAACACACATAAAAAGGCACTAAGAGACAACACCCCTAGGAAGTGGGCCTATTTTGCTCCCATATTAGGGGTAGGAAACTGAGAATAAGAAGATAAGCTACTTGCCTAAAAGTTCATGGGCTTCCGCAGTGGCTCAGCAGTAAAGAATCTGCCTGCATTATAGGAGGAGCAGGAGACACAGGTTCGATCCCTGGGTTGGGCACATCCCCTGGAGGAGGGCATGTTAACCCACTCTGGTGTTCTTTCCTGGAGAATCCCATGAACAGAGGAGCCTGGTAGGCAACCGTCCATAGGCTCACGAAGACACAGACATGACTGAGCACGCACGTACGCACACACAAGTTCACACAACGGGGGAGTGACAGAGCTAGGATTTGAATCCCAAGCTGGCTGACCCCAAAGCCAATCTCTATTCCAACTCTAGCCTTTCACTTGTGAAGTTAGAACAGCTGAACCCAATCATGTATCACAGGCTTTGACTACAAAATAAAAACCTTCTTATTAAAAATACAGATAGCCAGAATATATGATCCAACAACATCACTTCTGGCCATCTACTCAAAAGAACTGAAACAGGTGTCCAAACAAAAACTTGTACATGAACATTCACAGCAGCACTATACATAAAAGCCAAAAGGGGAAAACAACCCAAATGTTCATCAGCTGAAGAATAAACAAACAAAATGTGCTATATCCATACAGTGGAATACTACTCATCCACAAAAAGGAATGAAGTAGACACTACGACATGGTTGAAGCTTGAAAATATTATCCTGAGTGAAAGATGTCAGACATAAGAAGTCACACATGGTATGATTCCAGTTATATAAATATCCGGAATGGTCAAATCCACAGAAACAGAAAGCAGATGAGTAACTTCCAAGGATGGGAGGAGGGGAAAGTGGGGTGTGACTGCCTGACAGGTACAGGGTTTCCTTTTGGGTGATAAAAATGTTCTAGAACTAGATTCATGATGTTTTACACAACATTGTGAATGTACAAAATGTCACTAATGGCAAATTTTGTTTTCTGTGTATTTTACTACATTAAAAAAGAATTATAACCTGGTTTAAAACACACACACACACACATACACACACACACACACAGATGCTCACATCCCAACTCCAGAGAGTCTGATTCCATGGATCTGGGATGAGACTCTGGCACCTACATTTTTTTTTTTTTTTTGGAACGCTGCCCTGGTGGTTTCTGATGCTACTACAATGGACGTGCCTTGGTTTGGCTGTGCAAGAAGTCAGGTTGTTCCTCTGGAACACAGAATTAATACAGTGCAACTCTGCAGCCATGTTCATGATGGACCACAGCACATCTGCTTCTCTAGCCACAGCTGAATGGACCCAGCGACTCCCGAAATAGAGCCTCTAGATTTTTGTAACTCAGTAGAAGATGTAAACTCAGGAGCTGTTTGTTGGTGATAGCTTTTTTCTGCCATTTGGACAGGGACAGAGAGAAAGAGAGATGATTTCACTGAAAGACAGAAATGAAGCTATGACTCAGCTGGAAGTCTAGTGGTGGAGGGAGAGGGCTTTCTGTGCATCCCAAGAGTGCAAGGCCAGGTTTTCCTCGTTCCTGAGGCCCGGCTGTATCCTTAGGTTCTATGTTGCTGTTTAGTTGCTAAGTCGTGTCTGACTCTTTGTGAATTATTATCAATAAAGGTTGACTGCACACCTGCAAAGGAGCAGGCGCTCTGTCAGGCACTAAGGATGCAATGGCTGGGAAAGAAAAAAAGTTTAAAAAGTACCTGCCCTCAAGACGAAGCTGATGTAGTCAAATCAAACAAATAAGTGTAAAATTAAAGTGTTAGGTGTCCTATTGTGGCAGAAAATCCAAAGGCGGTTTACCAGAACATACAAAATACAAATGGATTAAATGGTGTATATGTTACAAAAAAATTTTTTAAATCTAAATCCAACAATAGTATTTATATTATTTATATTATATTATATTATTTATATGTTTATGTTATTTATAAATTTATAGAATAAAGGCACAGTTCTAGGATTATGCAAAAAAAAAATTAATGACTTTCTGAAGGAGTGCTCAGCATGTAAAGGTACTTTATCTTCTACTCTTTTCTGAGATTCCCTTAATAGTTTGCTCTAAGCTACAGGATAATCTACTTCGTTAACATTTATTCATTTCTGGGAAACCTAAAGAAATATTAAAATAATAAATATTAAAGTAATAAAAAAATTGAAATGAATGAATATAGGCTGTATCTACTTTGATAAGATGAAGCTCTCTTGACCAAAAGCCAGCAGGCTGTCTGCTGTGGAAGCAGCCTCCCCACTCTACACCTGGCCCATCTCTTCATGCTTCATTCTCCCTGGAGGGAATTCTTGAGCAGGAACAGGTACTCTGGATCTTTGAATGCAGTCAATCTCCTCAGAGTGACTGTCAATGGAGGCAACCCTCTAGAAGGGGCTAGGAGAGGAAACAGGGCTGGGGGCGGGGTCTGCCTTGACTGGACGATTTCTAAGCCTCAAGCTCCCCACAGCCTCTGCCTCAGCTTTGGACCATACTGGGCTCAAAGACTAAGAGGAGTAAGCTCCAGCAGCAGAAACCAAGGCCTCCAACACTCCAGAAAAGATGGAGGAAAGGTTAGAGACTCTTGGAATGGCTAACCGGCCATCCTTTAAACACCTAAAAGTTAAAGTTTATTAGAACTCACTTGTATTTTCTGGATTGGCACAAAATTGCAAATTATAGATATTAAAATCAAAAATCTTGTTCAACTGCTTAGATGCCAAATAAGACACCAGCAATGGGAACAGAAACCACAAGACGCTCTGAAATCTCCTGCTAGTTTATACGATAATTCTTCAAAGTCCCTTTGTGCTCACAGGTGATACTGTGGTTTCAATTCACAATTGAGCACTATTATTAGTTCTAATCTACTTTTGTTTGGCTCAGAGTTTTCTTTCCCCTGTAACCGGTTATAGGCAGATATTATAGCACTAAAGAAAGATATTTATTCACCAGTGTTACTGTAACAAACGCACCTTATTCAATATGTCCCTTTCTCTCAGAAGCTCATCCATTGCTTTCTTATCAAGTTCTGCTTGTTTCTTTGAGGCTTCCACCTCTAAATCACCAGAGAGAAAAACAATAATAAATATAAAGAGAGCCTGCCAAGAAAGAATCTGCCAAAGTGACATGAAAACTGCTTTATATATTTATCTGTAGCTATAAAACTGCTTTCTGTTGAGTGGTACGTGATCTTCATTATAACTCAGTGAGGTAAGTCTTCCCATCCCACGAAAGAGATGGAAACTGAGGCTTAGAGACCCATACACCAAGGGTCTGCAGCCAAGAGGTGACAGGGATAAGGTTGGGAGTTGGGTCTCTCTGACTCCAAAAAGTCCTAGCAGCTATTTAGTCCCTAAGTTGTGTAGGACTCTTTTGTGATCCCATGGACTGTAGCCCTCCAGGCTCCTCCAGACATAGGATTTCCCAGGCAAGAATACTAGAGTAGGTTGCCACTTCCTTCTCCAGGGGATCTTCCTGACTCAGGGATCAAACCCATGTCTCCTTCGCTGGCAGGCAGATTCTTTACCACTATGATGCTAGGGAAGCCCCAAAAGTCCTTGCTCTCTTGAAATATTTTTTATTATACAAGTAATTAGAAACACAGGAAGAAATTGGAAAATAAGCAATTCCAAAAAATAAACTAAAGGGAAAATTTTTTTAAAAATCAGAACCTAGGAGGGGACATATGTATACCTATGGCTGATTCGTGTTAATATTTGGCAGAAACCAACACAACACAATTCTGTAAAGCAATTATCCTTCAATTAAAATAAACAAATTTATTTTAAAAAATCGGAATCTACTTAAGATTTTGATGTGTCTCTTTCCTGACATTTTCCTATGCAAATACATGTGTGTATACAAATACATTTATATACCACATACACCAACAGGGAGCCATAACACACATACAGTCTTGTAACTTACTTTTATAAGTAACCAATATAAATAAATACCTCTCTATAGTATAAATGTGTATCTACATCAGACTGTTTAAAGACTTCATATTTCACTGTATAAAAATGTTTAATTTATTAAGCCAATCCTTATCTTAACATTTAAATTGCTTCTTTTTATTTTTTGTTTTGCAATTATAAGCAATAATCTTATGAAAGTTCCTGCTCATTTGGTCATCTAGGAGAGGAAGTCCTTGAATCAAAAGTGATTTTCTTTTTAAAGACCTTTTTCTCCAGCTGCCAATTTTCTCTCCAAAAATTAATAGCAGTTTAAATCCACACCCAAACTAGAACTGTTATTACCATTCTCCTTGATCTCTGACAACCTGATAGCTTTTCCTAAACCAGTATGTCTATATTTAATTTACACACCTTTAATTGGTAGTGAAGTCGACTACTTTCTCATGTTTCATGATCAATTATTGGTTTTCTGTTTTTCAAATTGCCCACACTAGCCTTCCGCCCATTTTTCTCATGAATTATTTACCTTTTTGTGAATTTGAAAGAGCACCTTATATATATTAATAATGAGGATACTAACTCTTTGGCAATATTTTAGTCAACTTGTCTTCTTATACAGAGTCTTTGGGGGCTTCTCTGGTGGCTCAGTGCTAAAGAATCTACCGCCAATGCAGGAGACACAGGTTCAATCCCTGGGTCAAGAGGATCCCTTGGAGAAGGAAATGGCAACCTCACTCAAGTATCCTTGCCTGAGAAATCCCATGGACAGAGGAGCCTCCCAGGCTACAGTCCATGGAGTCACAAAAGAGTTGGGCACGACTTAGCAACTAAATAGCAATAGAGTCTTTTGTTGCTAAAAAATAAATAAATAAATAGCTTTAATTTCATTAAATCTCTCCATCTTGGCTTTACTATTCCTACATTTGACCTTAACTTTTTTCCCAAAAAGTAGTTTATTGTCTTACTATCATGTTTTAAATAATCCATACTGCACACTGCTATGAAACAACACCTTTATCTTAGAAGATAATCATGGGTCTTTTTGTAGCCTTTCCAATCTTTTCCATTGATCTGTTTATTCACACATCTTCACTAAACTATTTGATTACTAAAGCTTTATAATACATTTAAACACCTGGTAAAGGCTAATGCTCCCTTCTCACTCTTCTTTTCCAGAATTTTATGGCTATTGTCACCTGTTTATTCTTCTGGAGGAACCCTAGAACCAGTTTTCAAGTCCCAAGCAACATAACTCACTGAAATTTTTATTGGAAATACTAAATGTGCAGATTAATTTGGACAGATTTATATTTATATCATATTGAGTTTTCTCATCCAGGAACTTGGTGTATTGGTCCATTTTTCAAGTCTTCCTTTATATCCCTCAAAAGAATTCTGTAATGTTTTATATATATAGGTCTTACAGATATTTTGGTAACTTTATTCATAGATATTTTATTACTTTAGTTGCTATTGTGAAAGGGGGGT